AAAAAAGATAATTAATATGATAAAAAGTAAATAAATTTCAATTATTAAAAATTGAGAGATAAATGATTGAGATTTTATTTAAGTATAATATATAAGATTTATATGTAAATAAATCTCTACTTATTATATATATAATTGAGATTTTTTTATATATATATAGTTATTATTGAGTAATTTTATGTTATAAAAAAATTCAATTATTATTTATATAACAGATATAAAAGCATCATTTAAATTATGTGCATAATGTTAAACGACTGATATTTTTGAAGAGAGAGAGAGAGAGAGAGAGAGTACAAACTAATATGTGGCGGAAGGCATGTTGGAGTTCAGAATGATAGAATGATACGAAAAATAAAGCAAAGGCTTGAATTTGAGTGGGCCAAGTTGCTCCTTTTAGGTGGGACACCGGAGCCTACATACTTTTTTTTACCTTGACCTCCCTAAAAGTAGCACCATATTCCATTCTGATTGGATTTAGTGTGTCTTAAGGTTTGTGGGGGCCAAGTCTCCCCATTAATCATTTCTACCATTATTTGAAGAGAATAATAAAACAATGGAATTCACAATTTTTTTTTTTTAAGGAACAATTAAAGGCAATGAAAATTATAGATGTTAATGGTTTCTTGTCAAAATCTACAAATTTCTTTCAATCAGCAGTCTCACAAGATTTGTAGGGCACTTATCAAAGCTCCCCTTTTCCTCCAAGTCGTTGGAAAAGATTCAAAATGTTTCCACTTTTCATTTTATGCAAAATAGGATGCTATACTCAATAGCTTCCTTCCCAAATAGAAAAAGAGGGAAATTACTACTTTAAGTCTTGTTTTGTGGGTTTGATTTGAGAAAATCTTCTCTCTTTTTATTCCTTTCTTCTGTGTGTATGTTCAGGTCAAGTTCGTTCAAGCATTTTGTGTTTTTAATAAGAAAAGAGCCATTCCCATCATTCCTCTTTTGAGGTCTTGAAAAGTCACATAACGTGTTAAGGGAAGATTATGCAAGCCTTCTGCCTTCCACTAATTGTAATTTTTAATTTTATCCCAATAATGGGTTCTTTAAATTTTGTCAGCTGCTCATCATGAATAATCTCAGACATATAATATCTTGAACATTCTTGGAAGAAAAATTACTTTGGAAAATATTGTGCTCCTTCTTTATTCCTTTTTGACTATCATTCTTCTCATTAAGCAAGTTTATATACCATATATAACACAAAGTATCTAAATTTTTAGTCGATTAATTTTATAATTAAGTACTTATAAATTATTCTTGCTTACAGACAATGAGACTCATTGTGTAAATTATTATTAAACAATCGTTCATACCTCATTACTCATGAATGTGTTGCAGGAATCCTAGGGATTTTCTTAATTATTCCATTTGATGATGGTCTTCTGCTAAATTTTTTCACACGTCTTCTTGCTGTTCCTATGAATGTAAAGACAAGTTGGTGTTATTATTGAAACAGGAGGACTTTGACCCAATAATTCAGGTGTCACCATATTTGGTTTGAATTCAAGGAATTTCATTTGATTTCAATTGCCTCAATGGATTCGGAACTAGGCATGGTTTTCTCTTTCTTGGACTCTTTGGTTATTTAATTGGGAATGGAAAAATCTTTAAGGACAATAACGTTGATGAGGAAAGGATTTTTAAACAAGTTCATTTCATATCTTTTTTATGGTGTTGATAAAAAAAATATATATATATATATATAAGGATTTTTAAACAAGTTCATTTCATATCTTTTTTATGGTGTTGATAAAATATATATATACAGAAGGGATCCATTTATATATAAATTTTATACATTATATTTATATAAAATTTTAATAATTTATCTTTTTTATTTTTAATAGTTGAGATTTACTATTATTTTTTAATTTAAAAAAATAATTATTTTTTGATAAATGTGAATAAATTTTAACAATTGGAAGTAAAGAGATAAATTGTTAAAATTTTATATAAGTATGGAATGTAAAACTTGTTTGTAAGTTGATCCATATTTATATATATCTTTTTTACAGTCCAAACAAAAGTCAAAATTGGGATTTTTTGGTTTTTCTGATTGGGTGCAGAACCTGATAGCATGTTTAAAGCCAAGTCTCTATCTGGGGTGTCATTTAAGGGGTGGGGTGTATATGTTTTGATTCTGGATGCTTGGATGAGGCTGCTCTTATGTTGAATGAGTTTTGTTACAGGTTTGTAGATGGAGGGTGACAAGTGTTATATATTATAGCGGTTTTTTTTTTTTTTAAAAAAAAAAAAAATCCCATCAATGGATTCCTTTGATATGATACTAATTAAAACCATGCAGTTGCTTGATTGCTGGAAGTGCATGCAGTATCCAAAAAGGTAAGCGTGAAAACACATACTTGATTGAAAAATCATAATAAAAATTGAACTTAAAGGTACAGTTATTAGAATATAAAAGATCAGGGCAGTTCTGAGAAACAATGGTGAAAGGTGATCAATCATATGGGTCCCCATTGAGCTAAACAAATTAAGAAAGAACATATGCTTGTCGAAAAATCTTCATATATCGGCTTTGTGAATTGTGTGGAACAAAATCTTTGCTAGGGTTTGATGCTAAGAAAATACCCCCCCTCTCATATAAGAATGTTTGGGATGAAGAAGAAGAGGGTATAGACGTATATATATATATAGTTGATAAATGGTTGTGTCCAACGAATATTTGACCATATATTTTATAACTGAAATGATACCCATTTAATTAGCTAGCTAGATATTTATGTATATTAATCAAGTTTCAATTAGATATTGATGAAAATGAAAATGTTGTAGATACTGCGCGTACTTTTTTTAGATAGTACTTTGTCTATTTAAAAAATAAATTTATTATTTTAATTAATTTTAATTAATATTTTATATATTTTACAATAATAAAAGAAAAAAAATTTACAACCATCACTACTTCCTAACACAACTCAGCACCCCAACAAAAAATTCTCTTAAACTCTTTTCTACACAGATGTTGTTATGACCATACAATCAAATGTTAAAGTTACACAATTTTAATTTTAAAAATATTAATTTAATTTAATTATTAAAAATAGTTAATAATTAATAAAATATAACTTAATTTATTATTTATTAAATTAAAACCAACTTTCTAAATTAATATTTTTAAAATATTATAATTAATTAATTAAAAATTATAAATTAATAAAATATTAATTAAATTAAATATCATATTTATAGGTTTAACATTTGAGTGTGTCCATGACCAATTCCTTTATTACTAGTAATAAATAAACTTGCAATGGGGGGTCAAAATCAGATGGTGCTAAAACTCAAAAGCCAATATACTTAAGATTCTGGGTCCCATGCATTAATTCGATAGAACCATAGAAAGCCCTAGCCTAGACTCCACACAACTAATGGGCTCAAGAACACAATTTTACTGGGCTAAGATCCATTGAATGCTGCTATTTATTTTAGGATTTCCCACCCTAGGGGTAAACCGACTTAATTTA